GCGTGAGGGGGGGCTGCCCCCGACGCTCCTAGGAAATGCCAGCAAGTTGGGGGGGGCGGGGGGGGCAATCATTGCAAAGGTGCGCAGAGGCTCAGGGAGAGGTAGTTCTGCAGAGGAGCCACTGTCAGGCCCCGAGGACCGGGGGGAGGCCCGGGTATTGCAGCTCTAGGTCCCCATGCGCGGCTCACAGCTCCCGGGAAAGGGGGCTCTGGGTGGGCCGCGTGCCAGCTGCGCCCAGAGGTTCGCAGGGAAGATCCCGCGGCCCAGCGAGCGGAAATGCTCCCAGTAGGGTTACAAGAGGCAACAGTCCCGGCCACCGCGGGCCCAGAGGCTTGTGGGCGAGAGTCCTCAGGCCAAAGGGACAGCCCGGGGGCATCCGGGGGGAGTGGACTTCCCGGCTCGAGGTCCCAGAGGCTCGTGGGAAGGGGATGCCCCCCACGGGAAGGACACCCGGGGCCGCAGAGGCTCAGGGAGAGGGTCGCCGAGCCCAGGAGGTGTCCTAGGCCCCGGCTGCATCTGGGGAACCAGCCACCGGCCGCCTCACCTGGATGGCCTTCAGCTCCTTCTGGAAGCGGAGGATCAGGTCGGGCCCGTGGTCCATGGTGGGAATGTGGAGGTCCTGGAAAGACAGCGCCGTGAGGACCCAGGGCGAGGCCTCCCCCCCGCCCCCCGCTCTCCCGCCTCCAGGGCAGCCAGCTCACCTGGCCTTGGTACAGGACTCGATGCACAGGGCACACCTGGCAAGCGGTGCCCGAGCCGAAGACTTCCCGGACCCGCCCCTCCTTTAGCGCCCGCAGAAGCTCCTTCATGGTGATCTTCCGCTCCACCACGCGGAACTCACCCTGCAGGCGGGAGGTGGTGCCGTGAGCCGGGCGGGCTGTCGGGCTGCAGGGCCTGCCGCTCCCACCCTAAGGATGGGGGGAAAGACAGAGACCCAAGGGGGGAGACAGACACCCGAGGACCAGAGGAGGGGGACAGAGACAAGCCAGTGCGCCCCCCCCCCACACACACACACACAGCAGGACCGGCCTCTTCCTCACCCAGGAGTGAGCCAGGTCCAGCAGGCTCTGCCTCACGACTCCCGGCAGGATGACACCCTCCAGCGGCGGGGTCACCAGCTCCAGCACTGGGTCAGGGGCAAGGATGGGGTGTCACCTCACACCCTCAGGCCCCTCCGTCCTCTCAGGAGCCACCCACCCCAACCCCCGAGACCCGCCCTCTGCTAGGACTGCACCACCCGCTCCCAGCAGGGCTCACCCCCGTCCTCGTGGGTCCAGTAGACGAAGATGTTCATGGTGCCCACCTCGGTGAGCTGGTGGTCGGGCCCGTACAGCCAGAGGACCTGCTCGCAGCCCTTCTTTTTCGCCTCCTGCTGCACAAACACTGTGGGCCCGTAGTTCCTGGGGGAGGACAGCGTGATCGCCGTGGGCAAGGGACCCACCCTGCTCCTCCCCGGCTCACAGCCCGCCCCTGGCTCCCCAGGACCCAGGACGGCTGCTTGGGGCCACGGCTCTAAGTCAGTGGTTCTCCACCTTCTGGCCCTTTCAATACAGCTCCTCATGCTGTGACCCAACCATAGAATTATTTCCGTGGCTACTTCATCGCTGTCATGTTGCTACTGTGATGAATCGTCATGTAAATATCTGATCTGCAGGATGGTCTTAGGCGACCCCTGTGAAAGGGTCGTTCGACCGCCAAAGGGGTCTCGACCCACAGGTTGAGAACCGCTGCTCTAAGTAGTCCGTCCTCCCTTCTCCAGGTTACGAGTGCATCCCGTTTCCTTTTTGTTTTTTCTCTTTTTAAAAAAAATATATATA